ATATATGGCAATCAAAAGGATGGAAAATAAACACAGCAGCCCAAGGGACAGATGGAGAAATGGCCAACAGTAGTTCCACGGATATGGATGCTGCCCCTGTAGGATAACATTCTCATAATTCTATTTTCTAAAGCCTAATTTAGCTCACTTCATTCAGTATAACCAATGAAGAGGAAAGAAAAAAAAAATCTTCTAAAAGGAGATTCTAAATAGAAAATCTTTATTATAGTTGACAATTAAGCACTAATTTAGTCAGATGAGAGGAATAGTTTCCCTCGTTCTATTTGTCTTGTGTCACAACGTTCTCTATCTACAGACCCATTTAATGCCATATGTATAAAAATGGCAAACAGTAGGCCTGTTAGGAGATGCTTCTGATTTACACAGGCAAGGATGAGGGCTGCGGGGAGAGGAACAGCGTAGTCACTTTCCCAAGCTCCAACTGTAGGCAGGTGATGTAGTATTTAAGGTCTGTCCAGCCCTATCCGTGCTGCATCTTGCCCCAACACGACTTTAAGGTCATAAAGAGCTGCAGGTAGAACAGCTTTTCCTCCTTCCTACATCTCACACAAACAAATGACTGGGAGGATGCATCTGTTCTACTGAGCAACATCGTTATGAAAACCTCTGACTAAGTATGAGCAATCACTGAGGAGTTCTCAGCAATCTCAAAATACTGCCAGTGTCACAGCACAGATCAGAAGGCATTTGAGTACGCACCCAGAGTTTGGTAACTTACCAAGCAAAACCAACGTACACTGGTCACAGTAGGGTGTTTTTATCTGCTTGGCATCATTGTGTGATGGGGTCAGCAAAAGTTCTGTCCGGAAAGCAGTAACTCCTGCCCAGCACAGCCTACATTTGTTTCTCTAGGTTGCAGACAGCTGGCATTATAATGTCATTCAAAGCTTAACACAGAAAATACTGGCACATTCACACACTAATCCTCCCCAAACCTAGTTACTCACCCCTCCTAAATCCAGTCATGGAAGAACAGTGTTTGAAATAATAAATGGAGAAGAGACCGTGTTCTTCACTACTTGGAAAAAACAAAGGAACCTATACCACAGAAGTCTACGAGCAAATGGCTTTGAGCTAATTGATTTTGCTATTCCAGCTGATAATGGCAAAACCAGAGTTGGAACAAAGTTTGTAGCAGCAATCCAACAAACTAAGACAGTCACTAATGCAACAACTCTGCTGAATCCAAATAGTCTCTTGCCAATCTGTGCGTTTTATAGCATTTGTTCTATCTGAGGACTAACTGATCTTTATTTATCATCACACAGTGTACACTAAAAGGAAAACAGGCATGAAACTTACCAGCATCAGGCAGTAACCAAGAGTGACAGTGCAATTGCTCAAGTAATAGAAAAAGCACAGGAAAACAGAATTTAGAGTAACAGTGTGACACAATACTTTTTTTTTAGCAACAACAAAATTCCATATACTAATACTGAGTTGTAAATTGCATAAATTGAAGCAAGGAGAAAATTTCAGCCAAGTGCAATTATAATTAGCTTTCTAAAATTGAAATGACCCTGTTTAAGTACCTACATCCAAGGTTTTGTGGTTTTTGAGCATCCATAGATGCTCACTCATTTTACTTGCATACATACATATGTATCTATGCATGCTTGAGCTTGAGATGAATGTCCATTTGTTGGCTACTTTACACTTCTAAAAATATTAAAGCAAGCTTTATAAATTAAGAAAATCAATTGCATTTGAGAAAGTAGAGGTGTGATGGTAATTAAAAATACTTGCATCTTCATCTGCAGAAGTAGTATCAAGCTACCTGCAAAACTAATAAAAGTTATTTAAATAAGTATTCTTTTTCAACTTAAATCTATATTTCTCTTGTCAATTCTGAGAGAAAATACTTCTCTGCTTTAGTAAAAGTGCAGACACTTTTTCTCTAAATGAAGAGAAAACCGTAAATGATTGACTATTAAATACAGAACTGAAAGGTATTTCCAGAATATTTTTAATAAATAAAATTTTAATTTAATTAAATTTAAATTTAATTTAAATTTAATTTAATAATTAAAAATATTAAAAATAAAAACATTTAATATTAAATGTAATATTAATATTAATAAATTTAATTTAATATTAAATATTAAAAATAATAATTAAAATTTAATTTAAATTTAAATTAAATTTAATTTAATAAAAGAAAACATTTTAAATTCACAAGTAGCTGTTTACTGCAAGTAACACTCTGGACAAAGCGCATACAGAGAAGAAAACTTCTGGCTCACAATACTATCTTCTTATATTTAAAATATTTTGTTGATTGAAATTGGCTTGTAGGAAAGGGATATTTCTTTAAGCTTTTGTGTGCTGCTTGTTAAAGCATTCACGAGGTCAAGAGCCAGAGGCATCTGTCAGCTCCTTGGAGGTCTGAGGAAAGAACTGCCTCAGAAGCCCTGCTGTTCTACTGCAGGCTGGGCCTGAATGAGAGGCGCGGATGCATGGCATGCTAAGGTGACCTGGTGACAGGCGGCCCCGCTGACCTTGCAGCCTCCCACCGCAGGATTCAGGTTACGCTGCAGCCAAGGCAGGACAGCCCCAGAGGAGGAACCTCACATGAACTGCTTATGGGATTCACACCGTTCGTCCTTGGTTTAGGCACAACTATTAGGAACGATTATTTAAAATTGACTTTAATAGTGACCAGCTGCACCAGAAAACTGTTCTCAGATCCTAAGTTTTAACACCCCGGAAATGCCAAAGAGATTGGGCACTCCCTTGCCTCGGACACTAGTAATCGCTGAGGTGAAGCACAAGTGCTGCTGCTTGACACGACACGTTCTTGCTAACATGTAATTTCCTGATGAGAGGTTGGAAGGAAGATGGCTGGAACAACAAGCAGAAGTCTCTCAACAATTTTACGTCTCACAGGTTTGTTTCTGCCAGCTTACCACTCAGCAAAGAATAATTGCTGCAGCAAGATTTGACAGAGGAGATAGCCCTCATAAATATCTATGCAGCAGAAGCTCTGTTCTAGTGCTGTTTTTTCAGTATCTTGTCTGAGAAAATAGATTTAGGAAATCAGTAATATCTCAATACCTCATCGACTCCCAGTCTACACGAGCAGTAACAAGGCACAGGTTTGCTCTTCTAAAAATAGTAACCAACTACAAAAAGTCACTGCGTCTGGAATTGGATACTCAGACACGTACACACAACATTTCTCAGGCAAGGTTCTAGAGCCTTAGCTGCTTCATCTTCCAAAGAGAGATGAGAATATTTACCATACAAAGATCCCACCCTACCCAACAATTAGTAACTATCCATGGATCAGCGTTGTGAATGGAATATTCAGCCACTTCGGGATACAAGCAAGTGTCCGCTTCTTACAATGAAATTTTGCAGTTGCTCTGTAGAGCAACAGAGGTAAAGACTTTTTTAAAAAAATCTCTATTTATACCTGTGATTCACTAACTTTGCATATACCAGACTGCTTCCTTTCTAAACGAAATAGTGTAAATATTCTACAGAAGTAGATTTCTTTTTAAAGATGTAGGTATTTTAATTATTACCTCATAATTAATTTGTTTATGTAAACTGTAATAATCACAACAAATATACTTACTCATACTTTTTATGAGCTATTATTACATTTACCAGGTTGGACCAAGTATTGTTTTAAAACATTGTTATTTTTAATGGATTGTTTTGCAGACAAGCACAAGGAACCATTCACACATGAATTAAAATCCCGTTTGTATATAGAGCTTTCACAGAAGTCAACCATTTGAAGAGCTGCACCACCTCTCAAGTTGCTTTGTTAAAAAGGCCATTAAGATGCACCCATACCTCAATGGAGCCTCCAAGGAAAAAGTTGGAATACAATTCAGGAATCAGCTAATACCTTCCAAGGTACTACAATTACCTCCCCACACACTAGCAGCCAAAACACTTGTAAACTCAGTTTGACTCATATTTTAGATGCAGGTAGGCGCGCATTTGTTTTCTCAAAAAAGAAGTCAACCACTGGCACGCAGTAAAGGTTCCATGTTTAAGTCAAACTTAATACTCTCATTGGTTTTCACACATGGTACAGCCACACTGAAGTCTTCCTTTCCAAAGAAAGAATTTCAGTGAAGTTTCTCCTTCATCATAGGCTTGTCAATTACTTCCTTTGTTTTTAAAAACTGTGCGTACCAGATGCAAGTGTTTGCTGCTTTCCTATCTAAACAGAAATTCTCATTGCTTTGTGTGTATCCCTTCCAATCTTAATTGAATCATTCATGAGGAAAGAGGAAAAGTCATTGCTCTGTACTTACAGGATAGCAGTACATAAATTTGATTGCAAAAAAAAAAAAAATCAAACTAAATTATAAAATTACGTTTTATGCAGCTTATGGATAGGTTTGCATACTTGTATTACCGTGATTTTAAAAAGGAACAGTAAACAAAAATATTTCAGAATTCAAAATACTGCATATGTAGCCTCCAAATGACTCGTGTTTAATGCCAGTTTGATGTTTTATTGAATTTTGAAATTTTTAGCCTGATCTATCTTTAAGACCAAGACCATAGTGATATGTTGGTTGTTTTGCAATTCCGCTGAAGTTAACTGACAGAAGAGCTATATTTAGTGTGCACACCCTAGGAACAGCCTGTGAAGCAGTGGACCCTTAGGAATCCACTCACAGAACAACTGTTTAACCAATCACATTACCTGCTCACCTTAACTAAGATCTTGAAGAAGGAGAATGAGGTCATAAAACAAACTTTTAATTCTTCTAGTTTTAGACTAGCTCTGGTGCCACAGGCAGCATGCTTTTAGAGACACTGATTAAATGAACTTTCTTGAAAGTTCTGTTACCTTAACACTTACAATACGTCAAGGTAACAACTGAATTAGCTTTCACTGCAGGACAGCCTCCAATAGGAATACCGGTGTTTGTTCTTTGTGTTCTGTTCTAAGAAGCAGAGTTTAAGAACTCACAACATACACACACACAAAAGTGCATTCATAAATTAACCTTGTGCTGCAGCAGCTTCAGAATTAGCAGCAACTTCCGAATTAGCAGCAGCTTCTGAATTAGCAGCAGCTTCCTGCTGTGCTCCCTCCACAGCAGGGGGTGCATCCGCAGCTGGTAAGTCACTCTCCCCTCCAGCTTCTGGGGACACCCCAGAACTCTCATCCTGTGCTGCAGGTCCAGCAGCAGCTTCTTCCGTGGCTGTGTCTTCTCCAGCAGCTTCAGCTGTTTCCTCTTCATCACCTTTTAAGGATTTATTTAATACAAATGAAGAAAGCATAAAGTGCATGCATGCAATACAAATTCCCCAACTACTTCTTACGATCATCCTCATTTAAATTTAAAAATGGGAAGCTAACTAAGCTTTGAGATCAGAATCTACAAACCAAGTCAATAAATTGAGAATGATTCCCCCCTATTGTCTAATGTCACACCAAAAAAACAGATGTTTACAAGATAAGGAAACCATATTCTTAATTACCAAGTTCCACAACTGCTTCAGTGTAGCAAGCAAGAGTGTGGCTTAAAGCAAGTGACTGTGAGAGGTGGGGGTGCAGGGAAGGATAAAAATAAAATGTGACAGGGACCAGACCAGACCAAGTGCTGCTCCAAATCTACTCTGATGAAAAGGCCAGTGATAATGGACTCTGACCTCACAGGGAGCAGGATTCTTCTCCTGTTCGCACCCAGTAGTGACGTTACCGTACTGGGAATAAGACATTTGCCACCATACCTGGGAGCTCTTAGGTAGTGCATTATCAATCGGGCTCACAGCTCAGAAGCACTGCTTTCCAAGGCACAGCTTCACTTTGTGCAGGGCTACATTCAAGGTGGCTAATTTGGCTGGCAGTAGCTGCAATAGGGCAGAGCCCAATACAGAATTAGTTTTCAGATGGGTCTTGTGCCATCTCTTAGCTCTCCTTTGCCAGAGGTATTCTGCTGTCCCTGTTTACCCTGCTTTCTTTAAAGTTCTACTTGCTGCACTGTGACCATACTTGGGACTGCAAGAGCCATACCACCCAAGTAAGAACGATAAGACCCGTGGGACTGAATGAGACAGGGGACCCTGACTGAAACGTGGTATATAAATCAGAAAATTAATTGCAAATTTTAAGTGAACAGTGTTCACTTTACTGGAGATATGACCACTTACAACTTTTTTTTTTTTTTTTTTTTTTTTTTTTTTTTACCTAAAACAGTCCTATCTGTCTCAAAGAATTGCCTAACTGCTGTGGGGTCAGACTCTCTAGAAATTGAAAATCACAATTTTTCCCAAGCATGCAATACTTCATACTCAGCTGAGACAAGTCATTACAAACAGCACAAAACAGCAGAGAAGATGCACAAACAGCATGCAAATACGCACTAAGATCAAGAAAGTTATATAGCAAGTGTTCGTTGCAAGTTTACTACTAGACCCAACTCACCAAGTGAAAAAACAGAACTGGAAATAAAGTTTGCAATACAGTGTAAACTAAGTGAGAAAGAAAAAGGAAAAGAAAAAACTTAAAGAGACATAGTCAGAATTTATTTTATTCTTTTATATTTGTTTAAAAACTGAACAGATCAATTTTACGTCTTAGTCTTGCATTGGCATAAGAAAGCCATCTGTTTGTGTTTAGGTTTTAACACAAGTCTGCTCAGTGTTCAGTACAAACCAAAGCTTTGTACTCCACAACCTGATCATGTCCCTTTAAGAGAATGCTATCTTTCAGAAAAATACATTGATTACGCAAAGAACAGACTAACAGCCAAGCTCAGCATTCAGTACAGTTTATTGGACAGTCAGATATAGAGTGCATTCATTCAGAACAGCCAGCTTCTCAACCTCAGAACTGCCTTCTACAAAGCAAGTTCAGTAATAGCTCAATATGGTTTGGCCTTGCAAACATAGGTGCTTCTCATAAAGTCTCACAAGTATGGAGTTTACAATAGAAGGCATAAAGTCATCCCATGGTAGGTGAAATGGTGAACGACTGTCCTTTGTTTGTATTTAACTTCCTCGGGTTTGGAAAGAGATATCCCTTGTATTTTAGTCTGGAAAGTGTAAAAGCAGAGTACAGATTAGAAAGATTGAATCAGCTTGCATTAAGGTAAAAAGAAAAATCATTGCTGAAAAGGAGGAAATACGGAATAAGTTAAAAGGAGACACAAGCAAATGGAAGACAAAGCTCGGTATTTGCTAAATAAACAAGTAGAATGTTCCACAAGGCAAGTATCATTTTGCAGTTCAAGTGATATCCCAGATTTCCAACTGCTACTTTGAGTCAGGCTTCTGCCAGGGGCTTTTTAAAATCCCTCCCTACATTTGAGAGTAGCTTTCAGTTAAAAAGAAATACAGAAAATTTGCTATTAGATTTCTTATAAATGTCTAATTTCATCATTAAATAAGATACCATTAAATATGATTTCAACCTGCTAATAAACAAGCAAGCCTGGAATAGTATTTGATGGTTTCTCTTGTTTTGACAGCACCATTTGCTGCATGAAGTTTTTTGTAATAGACAGTTTGGGTTTGGGCACAAGGGGAGAACTTTCCTCAGAAAGAGAAACCATGAAAACTACTTAGATCAAGAGAGTCTCTCTCTGATCTGCTGCACTCTAGTAGTAAGCTCTTCCAGCCAGAATGTTCTTCTTACCATACGATAGGTAGCAAATACACCATGAACATTCTGTTTAGCATACTACTGTTCTATCTGCCATTTGGTTTCATTGTCAACGCTGTTTTACAGGGTATTTTAAGCTTGAACTTAAGTGATCCCAAAAAGTATTAGATTACTTCAAGAACTTAATTTTTAATCACTCTTATCAGCAATGCTTACTGTGAAACAGTGTAAGGACTTGACCGAATCTAAAGAATATGTGGAGAAAGAAACTCCAGTGGAACTTCTGGGAAAAGCAGTACTATGGTAACACACCACGACAAGATACACAAGAAAATGCGACTATGCAGGGCACAGGAAAAAAGGGGAGGAAGGGATGTTAATTTTTTTGAGAAAGCACATACAGGATTCCATAGGAAAAGTAAGAATAGAAACCTCTTTGGGGAGAATACAGTTGGGAATGAAGAAGGATATTTAAAAAGAGCTGATTCAACAGTAGTTTTGTATTGTGAATTGGAATTAGTCACTCAAGTCCAATTGAAAACTCCGGCTTGAGCATCTAGCCAGGAGTCCAGTATCCAAAATAATATAGAATAAAAGTGTCAAATGTCTTCACTGAATGGCCCCAGAAGTGTTTTAGTGTTCTTACTATCAATAATGAAAGGCAGCAATCATCTGCCATTGGTTGTTGCATTTACATAAATTTCTAAGCAGCACAAGGCATCAGATATGGGATATCTGGAGAGTACCTGAACTGACAGTTAAGTTACAGAGCACTGGCTACTCTTACCCACATCTCAGGCAACACAACTATAACCTTCAATGGGTAAACAGTACCACTGATTCTGTTGGTATCCTACTCACACATTTTGGTAGCCGAGGGTTAAGAGGCAGTACCTAGCAGAAATGAACCCTCAAAGAAAAGGGGGAATATACTGACTACATTCTGAGTGGCCTGGAAGGTTTTGTTACTGCTACCGCATTCTTCTGACTGCCTTGGTTGGCATAACCCTTGTTTCTTCCCTGAACAGCAGAAGGCTAAGTCACTGGGAAGAAATACGTACTTTGGTCCTGATCAGATTTTTTGTTTGATGGACAAGGAAGGATTGCATTAAAATTGTGGCCATCTCAGCATCCAAAGAGTAAGTTTAAAACCTTTGTTATTTCCAGATGCATAAAAGAAAGGAGATTAAAGTATTTTGTCATTTAAAATCTTAAGTTCTGTAATTTTAAAGCTAAATTTTTTTTTTTTAAAAAAAGCTTTAAAGCTTTCAAACTAAAGGCTACATTGTGGAACTTCAAGAAGAATACTTCCTAAAGAAATAATTTTAGAGGCTAACAATATAAAGCATGTTTTCACGTTGAAAAAGAAATTAAACTCAGCATACTTTAGTCAAATCTATTTGTGTGGATGCAAATACATGAAATCAATTCTCTAGATGTTAGCCTCTGAAAAAATAAAGAATAGCTTCAAGTGCTATGGCTTCATGGTTTTAAAAGTTTTTTGTTGTTGCTCTAGCGATAACTCAATAAACATAAAGAGACCCTGAACAAGGCATTTTTATAATTGCTTTTCATAGCAAGGCCATGCTTGCCAAGGTCCTATCTTTCAGATTAACTTCATTGTAACACTAATTGATGTAGACAGAGACAACATTCCACTGCAAGTATTTGAACTAACTTGGTCTAATTATTTAAGCATGAAGGATTTGCCATTCATTTAGGTGGTGTCTGTTTTTCATTTAAATCTAAAATTAAGAGGATTAAATCAAAGTCGTGGGACAAGAAATAGGTTCTATTTACAATATTTAAATAAATAAATAGATATTTCTCCCAGCTCAACACATCAAGATTGAACTGCATTCCCTGATGACATGTGGCCTGGAGCCAAACTGTCGGCTGAGAAAGAGATATTATCTCTTCCCACCCCTCATCCCCACCAAAAAAAAAAAACAAACACAAAAGAACAGAACTGATTTTGACAGCATCGTGCATTTAATCACGTTTCATTAAGCTTTCCGTAAATCAAATGAAAATGCCCAAGATAAAATCAAGGTTCACACATTAGCTCTTTTCATCCAAAGATACCGCAGGTTGATCACAGGACAGATCCACTGCCTAAGCATTAAGCCCATCTCCAAAATTCGAGCAGAACACCTTTGTCTTTACTCCCAGTCACAGATCTTGGACTCTGACAGGGTTAAGGCCCAATTACATAATCCAGATATCTGCTCCAGATCCTCGTGTACCCAGAGAACAAGAGAAGAGCTCGACTCACCCTTGCCTGACCTGTACGAGCTTTTCCGCCCTTCAGCTCTCTCCTGAAGAATATGCATATGCTCAATGTAGTTGCTGCGGGAGGAACCAACGGTTCTGTAGGTCTGAAAAATAACATATCTAAAGATATATCTAACTAATATAGCTGCATGTCAACTAATAGCTAACTACAAAATTACAAAAAAAAAAAAAAAAGGAAAAGAGGAGGGTTTCAAACAGGTACTACTGCTTCTCTTAAAAGGCATATCAAATTATTATAAGCAAGGTAAAAATATCCAAAAAATCTATTTTGCTTCAGTAACATATTTACACGTTACCTATTTATAAAATGTGTAGATGTCAGAGAGAAAATACAGTGTTTCAGGAATTGAACAGAGTATTAAAAAATATATATATGGCCAGATATTTATTTTTGTACAAACTATGGTATGCAAACAGCTGACTGCAAGAGAACTTAAAATTCTTTCAGACATGCAGTCACACAATCTGATAATATTTTGAACAAACAGATGCTGTTTACCATTTTAGAGGATTATTTTGTGGGAGATAGAAACCTGTACCTCTTTGGGATGTGCTAGTCACTATTTCAAATCTCGAGGGAAGAAAGCTATAAAAGAAAGGCTTTAGGGGCATGAAGCACAGAGACTGATATATTTAGAGGCAGGGTGGAAAATGATTACTGAACGTGTTTGAAAATAACTTGGTGTTTACAAAACTCCAACGTGCTTTTTCTGAGTGATTAATATTCATATCCTTCTTATTGCCCCAGTTAACCAGGTTCATAATCTTCCCCTTCTGGGTTCACATCCCTCTTTCCTTCTGCAGTATGTCCTTAATGTTTGTAGTCACAAGAAGAGGCAAGGTGTTAGAGACAGATGCCTTACTCTGTCTTTAGACACATTCATTTCACATGGCTTTAAATGCGTTTCCCACTGAGAATCACTGTAGCCATGCACATCAAAATAACAGTAAAATAGGCAAGCACTATACATTGTCTCATTAATTCTCTTGGACTGATTTTTATGTTAAACTGCTTCAGCTCTATGCTATGACAACCACATTTTATCGACAGAGTTTACATCCTGACCATATTTTTTAAGTGCAGAACACGCCTGAAACCACATCAGCTAAGAAGGATAGAGCAGCGAATAGAAGGACGGAGCAGAGAGAGCTCCGCTGCCAATCACTTACATAAAATAAACCACTAAAAGCAGCAACGCCAGCAAGGAGATAGTAAATCATGTTCTCTCCAGAAGAGCCAGGAACGCTCCCAGATGACATCTGGCGAAGCGGTGCTAGAAAAAACGTTATTGATAGCGATGTAAAATGGCTGCTACAATAGGATCATAACGCAGAATTTTGCAGTCTGAGCTGTACATGGGAAGGGACGATCAAAAGAGCTGTAGCAAAACTGGGGGGATGTAGATTAGCGGTGTTTAGCACAACTGGCTAAATGGGGTGTGGTGGCTAACGTGAATGGGGTACACGGCTGAGGTCTTCCTAAGGGCGTAAGATTTTCTGTTAGCTGCTGTCTGCCTGCATCAGCTTCCAGGTGCTGGATGGCACCTACAGAGACATGCTCTGCCCACGAATTAAAAGAATTAATCTGTCGCTATTCAGTCACGACCAGCAGCGGTACCACATACCAGCAGCCGTTTCCTTTTAACGCACCTCGTTTCGTTGCGCACCGGCCGCTGACCTTTAGCTGCACACCCGAAACCAGGGTTACACAACCCGCTCAGCACACACCGCCACAGCCGCCCCCATGAAGCGGGGCTGTGAGGAGCACCACCCGCCCCCTCCCTCAGGCGGGGGAGCCGCCAACGGCCCCCGCACCAACGGTCCCAACGCCCGCCTCACCTGCCCCGTCCCACCCCATCCCGTCCCATGTCCCCCGCACCCCCCATCCGTACCGCGGTGCTGGAGCCGGCCGGCCGCTGAGGGAGCCCGGCTGAGGCGAGCGGCCAGCGCCTGCGAGGCGGCCCGGCACAGGTACATGGCGGCGGCGGAGCGAGGAGCGAGCAGCGGGCGCTGCGGGAGCACCGGCACCGGCACCGGCACCGCCCCGCCCCGTCCCGCCCCGCAGGCGGGAGGAGCAGCGAGCCCGGCCCCTCAGCCCGCAGCGCGACGCCAAGGGCGCTGGGGACGGGCAGCGGGAGGCTTCTTGCCCTTGGCTGCCCTTGGCTGACGGCAGGTGCGGCTGCGAGTGCTGCCTCACACAGCAGCACCACAACGCTCAGCTCACGGAGGCTGGCACCTGGCTGCAGGCATAGGCAGAGCGCAGCGCTGCACGCACTCCCCCTCTGCTGCCCTTCAGAAATACTGCAAAACTGCAGCACTGCCCCTCCAGCTGGGAGATACCGCGCCTTCACGGCACAGGTCCTCGGGGAACAGCGGGGCACGACCCTCTGGGACAGGTCTCAGGGGGCTGTGAAGCAGAAAAGCGCCTGTGCCCGTCAGAAAATATACAGTACCAGTTAGGAAGGGGTAAACTAATAACTAATGAGCCATAGGTCAGTTAAACAGTTCTGAGGGCTGAACTTTCATCCTCACTTTCTGTAAGCACAAAGTACATTCATCTTCCATGCCACAGCAAAAGCAAAGCAAGCTTACTGGCAAGGAAATACTAGTAGTGATCAAACCCACACAATTTAATGGTTTGCTATTTCTGATTTTTTTTTTTTATTATCTCCAATAATGCTTCTTTTCTGTTCTACAGGACAGGAAAAAAAGAAATCAATCCAGGCCACAAAGAAATGAAGAACAATAGTCAGTATTCAAAGAACTACAAGTATGCAAACAGATGTGTAACAAATTACAGCAGGTCTTTAAACCACTGCATCAGCCTTTCAAAGTCTATCTAGTGAAAACTGAGCTGGAAGCTTCCCCTTTGGCATGCTTCTCCTTTCAGTGTTTATACAAATTACAATTTTATTAGGATTCTGGTAAATGTCATTCTTGTATTTGCTTATTTTGGAAATTCAGCCATGAAAATAATGTCAAGACCACACTCAATTTTTGAAATATTTGCTAAACTTCCTCTTAAATCACGCTTGAATTTGTACTGCAACTTCCAGATAATAATAAAGACAGTTTGTGAACATTATTTTCAAAACTGTGAAAAAGGTAAATGCTATATGAAAGCCAGTAGAATGAAAATACATGGCAAGAAGAGTCTTGGTAAGTTTCTTCCACACTTTATCATTTATTTTGTAACAATGCACATGAAATGTATGAACAGGTAAGTGTTTAGATACTTTGTACTTCTGCTGTGCTCATTTATTCACAGGACACAACCAATGATGGTATTTCTTACCAAGCCTCTGGTCAACCTAAGAAAGGGGAAACAAAATTAGCAAGAAGGAAATACACACAATGAAGTGGGTTAGAAAGGTCTCACAAGGTACTATGTTTTTAGCTGGACAAAAATATTTTAGGAAAAATAAACTAATACAGAGAATCTTGTAGTCCTATGGTTGTTTCTTTCAAGTAGCATGTTAACTGCTGAGGCCATGATCTCCAATAACATTTTTATCTGGCAGAATCACAATTGTGTTTTTTAAGTCAATAAGGACAATTTGCTTAATAACGCAAATCCACAAGCACTGATTTTATATCATTCTTATGCATAACATACAATGACAGCTAAGAAAAATGGTTCCCACCATAGAACTGTTAAAAAAAAGAGGCAAATAGAAGCTATTTCTAGTGACCTTGACCTCCTTGCTAATAAAAGCACTCTAAGGTTTTCTCTTTGGCACCTAAATTTATTAGACACATGTTATTTTCAAAAAGTCTGCACATCCAAGACAAAAAGCTGGCAGTGAATGTGCATACAAATTAATACCTGAAACTATCGGTCACTATAGAACTGGGGAAGAAGTAGCAGAACAGCAAAATATTAAAGAAAATAATATGGGAAGAAAAAAAGCCAACAATCAAGACTTTGAGAACTAACCAGTCAAAAAGATCTGCAGAATTCAGGTTTTTAAGTCAAACAGCATCTGTATGTCCATACTCACTATGAACATCCTGTACACTTATGTTTACTCGCTTCTTTTCTTCTTTCATATTCCATTACATCTTCATTATGCTGCTTGAATAGCTGTAAAAGTAGCATATGTTAAATGTCTATACAACTAGAACCAGAGTAGGAACAAATCTGCAGGAAATGAAATTCCCATATTCAGAATGTAAACCAGTATATACCTGTTAGGAATCGGGGTGATAGAAGTTAAACCACATGTAAATTATCAATTGTTCAGTAAGGTATGTTTAATCACACCTCCCTCCAACATTTTCTGCTGGCTGGCCAATTTTTTTTCTTCCCCCTTTTATTGTCAATCCACTACCACCCCAAAACTGGGGATGGGAATCCATCCCACCATGCAAATCACTGTCATTGTGCAAGTGCTGCTTATCCTTGGTGTTTCCTCAGGAGAGCTACCACATCCTGCTTGCTCTATCAATATCAAGCCCAAGCGTTCTCTGAAGCTGAGCATCCTGCACCTGCGTTTTGTGCAGGAGAAGGGGGCCCTGATCACCTGCATGCAGCTGAAAAATGGTTAAGGAGAGAACGCGTGAACAGTATGATAAACCAAAATTGTTTGGGCACATCCTTACATTTTATTTAAAGTGAGGTAGGAAAAACAATGCTGGAAGCATTATGCCAACAGGCCTGAGGAATTCATTCCTCGCTAGTGGCTGTTTTGAAGTTAGCATCTGGGGCTTAACAGGAGCTTAATAACTTGTTCATTTTTGTAAATTGAACTGCCACATGGATACAGGAAAGCATACATGTAAGTCATCCACACGTGATGTGCTGCTTCAGTCCTGACACCTGCTATGCCTATCCATGGCCACAATCAATTAAATACGCTGTAGCCATTATCTTCGGATCATTACAATCTGGGAATTAAGTTCAACAAAACCAACCCAAAGCACTTACGAGAGCCCACAGGGCAGCACTGGTACTAAAGGCCAAGCCGACTCCAAACCAGTTCGGATGCTCGTAATTATTCTTTCTCGCTACGAACGCAGACCGGGTAAAAACTGTGGAGGCAGAAGGTTCCGAACACATTAACATTTTTGTTTTTAGTGCCAATTACTCGGCAGTAACTGCCGACTAAGTCAATTACTGGCGCTAATAGGAAAGGGCTCTAAAGGAAAGGGATCTAATCACAACGTCGCTACAGGACGGAGGAGGAGGAGGAGGAGGAGGGCTCGAGCAGGGTTCCCCTTCCCTCCTCCCGTCCCCACAGCCCGGCCCCGCTCACCGAGCCCGTGCCCGGGCCCCGCCAGCCGCAGCCCCGCCGCCGCCCTCAGCGCCGCCGCCATCTTGCCGCGCGCGGTGTCGCTGCCGTCCGCCCCCTGCCGGCCGGGCGGAGCCGCCATGCGCCGAGGCGGGGCGGGACGAGGCGGGGCGGGCGCGGGGTCGCGGCGCAGGCGCTGCGCGGGGGCTGACCCGGCTGGGGAAGCCGTGCGCGGCGGCGGCGGCCATTTTGGCGGTGCCTCTCTCCGGCCTGCTCGGTTACCACGTGAGCCGCCGCCCGGGGCTCGGGGCAGCCCAGCCCAGCCCAGCCCAGCGCGGAGGGCACCGGGGCAGGGCGGGGCGGGGCAGGGCGGGGGAGAGGGGGCGGCCGGGCTCTGCCTGAGGAGGCTCCCGGCGGCGGCGGTGCGCGATCGGCGGGCACGGGGCGCAGCCCGCGCACCCCCCCCCCTCCCCGGAGCGCCCCCTCGGCGGCGGCAGCGGCGGCGGCAGCGGGAGCGGGAGCGGCGGGGACGATGCCGGCCGTGAGCCTGCCGCCCAAGGAGAACGCGCTCTTCAAGCGCATCCTGGTGAGTCAGGGCCGGGGAGCCTCGGGGGGGTGAGGGGGAGCGGCGGGGTTACGGCCTCCAGGCCGCTGTTAGCAGGGTCAGGCTCCATGCAATTTTCTCTCAGAAAAACTCGATTTTTGTCTAAAAAGCTCGCGCAAGGCGTAACCGGCTGGGTTGGGTCCTCGCAGCGGCCAGGAGTAACGCGGTGCTGCAGCCCCTGCGGCTGGGTGCGTGCCTGCCATCTCAGCGCTGGGTGCGTGTGCTCTGGCACCGCGCTCCCCAAAATGTGCTGTGGGCGTGAAACACGGCTGTAGGGCTGGAAATCCTCACAGACCTCTCACCCCGAGACGTGCCCCTTCCATCAGGGTTAGAGCACGTACAGCAAGCTGCGAGGCTTGTCTCCAGGAAAGCTCCAGCCCTTGTTCTGAGCATCCAACTTTGTACGCTGCGAGCTGGGAGAGGAATCACCTTGCTACTCCCTCCTTTTCCTCTCCATTGGGGATGAGCAGTGTGGTTACAAGGCAGACTGAATCAAGGTGCCCATCTGTGTTTAACGCTGTCACGTTTTTCTAATTTCTGGTCTCAGGGCTCAGCACGTGGCCCTCTGAGCATTTGTGCGGAGAGCAGGAACAAGGGAGGAGTAAGTTTCTTTTGGAGAAAATGCTGGCGAGGCACATACGAGATGAGTAAAGCTTCGCAGTTTGGTTCGGGTCAGGAGAGACAAAGGTCTGCTCTCGTCCAATCGGATTTCTGTGGGGTGAAGCAATTCTAATTTTGCCCCATTTTTAACTGAAAAACTTCAATGAAAACATAGGGATTTCAGCTTCTGGCTGAACTAAAAGTTATTCTGGCTTTTGGTTATTCTGTGTCTTGCAGGAATAAACCTGCATTAAGGCTGCCCCGTGATTAAGTGCATTTGTGAATAAAAAAGAGTTGAAGTCAGTTTCCATCACTGAAAATACAGCTAATGAACTGCTTGTCTGCCTCACAGATAATGACCCTACTTTGTAAGGCTTTGATTACGTGGTAGACACGAATGTGAGGCGTCTTTCAGGAAGTCCCATTTATCAACGCAAGTCCAAAGGAACACGACTTATCTGCTCCTGTACCGCTGCTCCATCTCGCTCTTCCCTTCCTCAGGAGGCTGTAATCTCCATGATGCCGTGTCCTCAGCCGCCTCCTCCGGGGGCCCACGGGTGGCTGAGCAGCAGGATGGGGAGCCAGAGCCCGCCTGGGCAGCTGGCTCACCCGTGGGACTTGGGCTGCCTAATGAGGTGGCCTGATTAGCTGCCCCCGGGTCAGCGCCTGCTGTCTGCTGGCCTGGGCAGGCCCCCGCAGTTGTCCCGTTGAGCAAGCCTGGGATTTTTTTATTTTTTTTTATCAGCAGATGCTTTGGGAACCAGCCCAAGTGGTATTGAAAGGATGCATTACCCATCAAGTAGGTAATTACTGACACAC